AGCCTGTGGGCCTGATTTGGAGCATGGTGCTGGTGCAGCCAGGGCCTGATGCAGCGGCATGGGGTGGGCTGGTCTTGCGTGGCTGCACTGGACCTGATCTGCTGCGTAGGAATAGAACCCGATCGCTCTGCGTGGGGCCAGCCCAGCCAGCACCGATCCAGCCGTCTAGGGCTTGAAATTTGGCAGTGGAGGAGCAGTGATGGTGTTAATTGCTGCTGCTCCCCCATCACTAACTTTCCAGACTCCCGGGCAATCCTGTAGGCCAGACTAGGTGGCTCTGCAGGCTGGGAGTTGAGCACTCCTGAGCTAAACTGCTGGAGTTCACACTTACTGTCGGATAGAGTGGACATGGACTCCTCTTGTAGGGTAGTCTGTATGTAGTAAAGCTCCATCCCCTCTTAACTTGTGTTATTTTCTCACGTTTTGTCCATAGACTGCATCACTTCAGATTTAATTTTTCTGAGCATCCCTGTAACCTAATTTTGTCAAGGCAAGTGATTATCTAAATATGATGAACTCTTTAACACCCTTTCTCTGGTTCTTCAAAACCAGATCCAGGATAATGGAAAGCAGGTTGATGCAAAATTTAAATGTTTGTAATTGACTGGAAAGGAAATTAATTTTTGTACACACTTTGTCTCATCAAGTAAGATTATTGACCTTTAGAGGTTTTAGTCCTTAGTTTATTACGGTCTTTTGATGCTCCTCCATATTCATAACTGTTCCCCCTCGGATTCCAGGGCCATTTTCTCAGTTTGGAAAGAGATTTTCCTTGGGATCTTGGAAGACAAGGGATGCAGTATATCTCTGTGATTAATCATTTTGAGGGGCTTATGTCTGAAGTGCTACTGGGAAGACGAGCAGTTTTTTAAATGTTGTTTTCTAAACTACAGATCAGTGAGTTTTATGTTTCTAATAGCTCCTGTTATGAATAGGTGATCATTATTCCAAGAGGTCTTGCTATTTTTTGAGATGTTTTGTTACTGTAGAGAAGCAAATGTGTTTTGAATACTTCTTGTTTGTTTGAAGCAGATCTGTTACTACTCTTTCACAGCCTCTGTTCCCCTTCATCCTTTTTTAATTTTTATTTTTTTGTATGTTCGACAAAGATGGGTGCAAAATCCTGGAGAAAATCAGATTTGATCAGCATAGGCCTTCGCATCTGGAAAATATCAGTCATCTGTCAATATTTAAAAGCTGACTGTAGTGGAGGAATTTTGAAGTGTAGTGGGGAGCTAAGTGGAGGAAACAGGCTATGAATGATAGAAGCAAAGACAATGAGGGTTAAAAAAGGGACCTCAGGAAGTCATCTAGTCCAACCCCCTGGTCAAAGCAGGACCCTCCCCAGCTGTATCATCAAAGCAGGACCATTGCATGGGACCACCAGGGATCAAATTTTGTAAAACACGTAAGAGCCGTTAACACAAGTCTAATTGGAGCCCTGTATGAAAGTTGTTGCACTGAAGCACTTCTGAAAATTTGCCCCGCATCTGGGTGCTATGGCAAAACTTTCCATGTTGCATTGTCATGACATCCCAGTCCACCAAAAGAGTAGTGCCTTTGGGAACCATGTATGTATTTGGCTTATGCTAGAGGGCTGCCCAGATCCTCACTCTCCCAGCTGTAGTACAAGCCGGTGTGCAGGCCTGGGTTACCAGGCCACCTGCATGTTTTTCATAAACCACCGTGATTTTCCAAAGCATCGCGTGTTGTCTCCTGCACATCTGTATCCTCTTACTCTCTGCTGCCAAGTCTGTCACCTTGATTCACCCAGTCTATGTGCAGAGTGTAGCTCAGGATGAAAAAAATAACGTCTGAAAATAGATAGCTCGATCCTGAGCAGCCAAAAGCGATCATCAGATCGTCTAACCTAACCTCAACCTTCTGTCTGCTAATCTTTGTGTAAATTAATCCTCACATGGAGAAAAAGCCTCAGTTTCTGTTTTTACATGTTTCATTGTTAACGTTTTTGAAAAACAGCCTCTCACTCGGGTATCGGCCGAGGGGATGTATACGGGGCTTGGAATTTTTAGAGGGTGCTTGGGAAAACAGCACCGTTTTTTAAACAAGTATCTTGTTTTAAAATGTTTCCTTTAGAAAACCTGGTAAATACTAAAACAATTATTAAGAAAATTCTGCTCTTCACTGAAGAGCAATTGTGGCAAACTTGTAGATCAGTGCTGTCCAACTGGCTGCATGCCGTCTGCAAGGAATTACGTTTTGGCCCCTGGGATCTTGCCCAGCTGCAGCTCCCCCCATGGGCATGGGTACATCAGTGTTGGGGAGGGGGGCATCTATGACACACGTGGCCAGGGGGCCTGTGCCCTTCCCTGGCGTGGCACATTGGGGTGCAGTGCCCACTTGTGTAGCCCACAGGGCATTTGGCCTCCAGCTGCTTAGATGTTGGACAACTCTATTTTAGACCCAAGATCTGATTTCCAAAAGCTCTTGAGCATTGGCCTAAGGCACTTCCTGTCAAAGTTGAATGAGGTTTTACCTTGAGCTTCATTTTGAACAAGCTGGACCCAAGCTAAACTATTCCAGCCTACACTGAAAAGTTAAATGGAAAAGAAAGGGATTTTATTCCCATTTAATCTCAAGTCAATTTTAAGCAGTTGCTACAATACCTCTATAATCCATGTATCTAGCATGTACAAATATATTAATTTTCCTTTTTGCTCTTGATAGATGTTCTTCCTGAGCCTGGTAGCAACTGAAGTGTATTTGGCTATGCCTCTTGGCAACATAAAAATATGTCTGGTCTTGATTTTGACTATTCCATAAATGAGATTTTCATAGAAATTATAGTACAACATGTTTAAAAAGTGAAAACTGTTGATCATGTTATGAAGAAGCATTACTGTGTATGCATGATAATCATCCGTTTCTGTGTTGTAGATATTTCCTACTTTATTGTTAAAAGGCTTGTGGCCTGGCTAGCAAAAAGTGGGATCTTTGTGAATATCCCTTTTTAAAGGTAGGACATTACTTACCTGGCACGTTACACAAGAGGTTGGAGGTGGAGAAAAGAGGTCATAAAGGGGAAATTTTTTTTTTTATTTGTGCTAAGCAAGGGCTTAACCAATTTAAATAATTTTGTTATAACAAATGGATTTTGGAAGAGAAACTATGTGCATCATAGCAGCTAACAATGAATCTAAACAAATGTGTGTGACAGGTCTCTCGAAAATGATTTACAATATGCCGATGTATTCACAACTAGAACGCTGCTGCTGGACAAGGCTAAAATGAATCATATGAAGTCTAGCACTGTAAATAGATTAGACTTTTTAGGTTACAGTTTCACGTAGCTTGTCCCTTTTTCTAAAGCGTGCATTGGAAGAGACCTCACTTCAAGTTTAGGGCAGGGTTTAATAGTACTTGCAGTTAGTGACATTATGAAACAGTAATTCTAGCACAGCTGTTTTATTATGTTAAGACTGGCCGGTTCCCAAGACTTCTGAGAAATGGCAAATCTAATTTGCCAAAATGGCAACCACATGCGCTAATCTAGCGGAGTTTTCTTGGGCACCTTGCCACGGGCTGTGCAGTCCCAACAGTTTTCACCATGATCAGAATTTCAAGTGACTCAATACTGGCAGCAACAGCCTTCTGAATAAACATCTCTGACATTGTGCGGTGTCCTCATTCGGAAGGCATTATGATAGGGCTTTCACAATGAGCAGCTGTTGCTGAGAAGTCTTCGGTAACGCTGCATCAGACTTTTTAAAGTTGCGCTCCACCTGCCTGATTTAGTTGCTGTCCCGCATTCAAGTGGAAGAAAGAGGAAAATATTTATACATATTTCTAGCTGATTCGGTGCCAATGTGAAGGGATAACTTACTGCTTCCATTGGTAAACCTCAAATTATCCCATTAGTATCCTTTGCTTCAGGTATTAAAAAAAAAAATTAAAAAAGACTGGTCACCTGGCATGCATTGTCCATCCTTCTCGAAGTGTGGGAAAACACAAATATGGATGGCTGCCATGATTTAAATTCAACTTAGTGGCTGGTGGTTTCTTTTAATGCAGTTGCTAAATACCCCTGACAGCGAATTCCATAGGAGCAGGAGTGAGAGAGGGTTGGCTCTGGAAGAAGCACGGCGTGCTGGAAATAGAATTAAGCTTCAGCGAGCTTAGCTATGGAAACACCAGGCAGGCGTTGGAGCCAAGAAAGCTCCAAAAAATTGAATTTGGTTCAAATCTAGCCGTAATTAGCAGCAAAGAAGCTCCCTAATCTCACTGAGTGTTTACTAAGATGTTTAGGGATCACATTTGCTGGCACATTATCTTTATATACATCTGTACGGTGCATAACCAAATGGGGTCCCAATTTGGGTTGGTGTTTTTGTGCGCTAATAGCAATGGTAATTTACTTTTTTAAAAGATGCTTTGCAAGCTGTTCAAATAAGCTTGCAGTTTAGAAAATTGCTCAGGCTAAAAGACATTATGCTTCATTTTTTGCTTATTAATGTGTGTGCTTTTTTCCACTTAAAAATAAAACTTTTAATTAAAATGAAATGAAGCTTTTTGATGTGTTTAGCCTTAAATCGGGGAAGTCAGGGACTCTCTTTACCTGCTGCTGCAGTCCGGTACATACAGAGGCGGTACAATCCTTACTGCTTTATCTGAGGCCATACAATGAGACCACTTGAAGGAGTCATAGGGAGAGTTCAATCCTTATCTTCAAAAAGTAGTAATTAATGCCAGTTGAGAAGTGTCCACATCACAGAAATAACCTTCCCAAGTGGAAACTGGGCCAAGATATTATCTTGCCTATCTCACATATGTCAATGAGCATTTATTAGGTGACCACAACTTCTTGGTCATTACTAGAGAAACTGGATTTGAACCAACGTCTTAAATATGTAATCTTTTACTATTAATCCCTTACATCCCATTTCCTTTTTTAAAACCATGAATACAGCAATAAATAAATACTGGCTTAAAGTGTTTAGGTGTGTGTTTAACATCCTCCTTGCTTCTGTTCTCCAGGGTTGTATGATTTCACAGATCACTTGGTTTGGGGTCTTCAGTGGCATTGGATTGGACACTGTTGCCTGATTCTGAATGATGACAGAACAGGATTTGGCAGATGTGGTTCAGATTGCAGTAGAAGACTTGAACCCAGATCATCCAGGTACAGTAAAGCAGGCAGCACCAATACTAGAAAGAGTGATGAAACATGCCTTCCCAGAAGTGGAAAACAAAATCACTTGTACTGGAGCAGAAGTTTCTTACTTATTTTAAGCTTACTCTGCCAGTAGGACTTGAATACTTCAGTGGACCAGTGTTTCTTCTAATGTTTTATACTTAACCTCTTTAAGTCTTTAAAGCTATATGCTATTCTTGTTTTTATGCCAAAATCTAGAGTTAAGCATGACTATAAGTGTGTTTTACTCTTCACTGTGCAGATACCTCATACCCAGCTGTGACCCAACCACTATGAACCAAAGTTTTGTTCAATAGCTCATTTTTACACGATTTAAGTCCAGTGTTCTTACTGTATTGAAGTACGATTGGAAATTACCCTCAAAAGCATATACCATACCCTGTAGGAGTTGGTTAAAAAGAAAAAATAAATACATGTATTGAGATTTCTCTTTCTGGGACTGAGGGCATCAGTCCATCTAGTTAGAGAAGGTGTCCTGATGAAATCAGTTTACAAGTGATACCTTTCACAAAGCATTCTGCTCTGATGACGTGCAGTTACACCTGTGCCACGCTGTGTTATAGATAGTAGGTCTGCAGCACTGATTCTCAACCAGGGTACCATGGCCCCTGCAAGAGGCCGTAAGCACTGGCTACTTGCAACATCAGGTGCCCTGTGTCTGCCCCAGTGTCTCAGCAGCACCCCCCACCAGCCCTGGGAGCATGAGAAGTGCAGGGGAAGGAGCTGTGCTGAAAAGCTCAGTCCCCAACACTTCTCATGCACCCTGAGCAGTGCTCTCTGCCATTGGTGTGTGGGCAGATGTGGGGCTGAATTTTTTCAGCCTGGCTCCTTTCCCTGCTCTTCCCACTAGCTCTAGGAGCATGGGAAGGGCTGTGGGGAATGGCCCAGCATTTGGGTCCCCAGAGGAGCAGCCACAGTGACAGGGGCTGTACTCACTCCCTCGGGCACAGACAGGGGCAGACAGAGCAGGGCGCAGAAGAGTCCTGCCCCTTGCCACCCTCATCTGGCACCAGCCTCTGTACCATTGTCACCTCCTGCAGGGACAGCTGTTTTTTCAGGGGGTGTAATGGCCCTCTCCCAAGTTTCCCAGTCTGCCCCACTGAGCAGCTCTGAGCCAGCACTGAGAACTGTGTACCACCCCTATCATGCTCTCAGAGGTGCCCTGCCCTGTTGCCCCGTCAGATCCCTTTAAGGGTGCTGCAGGGTGCAAGGAGGTAAGCATTGTAAGAAATAAATTAGTCGTTAAATGGGGTGTCTCTAAATGGCAACAAAGTTATCAAGGGGTGCCTTCAGTCTAAAAAGGTTGGGAACCAGTCGTCTGCAGGTATAAGCACGTGTGCATGTTTGCAGCATTATTGCACGTGTATTTTGGGAAGAACTGATAAATGGTAAAACCTGTTCACGTACTCAGAACTCCCTGGGTGAAACCCTCGCCCTGTGCAACTCCAGGGAAACTTGTGGTTCTGCACATGTGCAGGTGCCCACCACTGGGTTTTGTAGCCATTTTAGGGCTACCTTTTTTTTTTGGAAGGGGGCATTAGTGATTATGAATAAGCAATGGAACACCTCAGATTTTGTAAGCTATTATTATATAGGTTCCCCCCCTTTTTGCCTAATATAAATTAAGGCAAGTTTCTCTTTGTAAGAAGCCATGCAGTAGGGTTACTGCAACCGTTATTATTTAGTAAACATTAATAAATAATTATTTATGAAATACTAAACGCATCATGATTAATGTATCACAATAATGCTACTGCCCAGCTGCCTGTATGTTGTGATGGAAACTTTTTTTGGGGAAAAAAGCAAACATAAATAAAAATGAAAATAAGAAAATTAATGATTGTGTTATGCTAGTGCATCCCTATTATTTTGATGGAGACTTTTTTTAAAGCCTTTTAATAAGTATGTAGTAAAAAATACCACTTTTGCTTTCTGCTGGCTAGTTTACTTTGTTGTAAAAGCTTATTTGGTGTAAAATGCTATTTCCATGAAAAGCTACTTGAACAAACTGGTATTTTGATTTTTTTTGAGCGAAGATGGCATTACATCAGAAACATGAGGAAACTCACAGCTTAGTGTTAACTCTAGAGAGGGCTGAATAGTCAAACTATATTTCTGAAAAAAAGAAAAAAAAAAGAGTACAGTTCTCATGCCACGCTATTGCCAATATTTCAGCGTCGCTTTTTATGACGATCTGTTAGAATCATAATTTCTTGTCTTACTGAGATGGTTTTTCTGATTTAAAAGCAAGTCTGTTCCCAGTATACCATTAATCTCTTCCGTATGTTTTCAGACAAATCTGCATGAGACACTTAAGCTGTGTATCCCTACTCATCTGTATGCTTTTAATTAATTAGTCAAATAAATGTTTATGTACAAATACAAGATTCAGACTAGAGCCTTTTTCTCAGTGCTCCTGGATTTTTTCTTGTTTTGTTTTTCTCTTTAATGTCTTTATAACATGTAATGTGTTTTGCCCCTAATATTGTAGATTGACAGCACTTCCTTTTTCTTGCAGTTGTGTTGGAGAATCATGAAGTGACAGATGAAGATGTAGAACCTGCTCTGAAACGCCAGCGGATAGAAATTAACTGCCAAGATCCCTCTATTAAGGTGGTGATAGTGCACCTTTTTATTGGTCATAAAGTCAGATATGTTCTTTACATTGGGGAAAATGCATTAAAATAGGGAAGCAAAATGAAATGAAATTAGTATATTTATATTCAATCCTGACAGTATTCTTGCCCTTCCTGCAAATGTTATAGCATGTTTCTTTATTGGTAGTCAGCACAAACATACATCTTTAGATTTATACCTAATTTTCCAAAGCCAAATCTATTGGATTACCTTTATACCTATTTTTAATGAGTCATTCCATTGAATCAAATCTTACTCCTCTTTTGTTTTGAAGGGTTTGGATAAATTGTATCAAAATGGTGGATGTGACCATACGTTAATTCTTTCAGTATTCTTTTCACTATTTTTTAACAGTTATTTTAAAATAATATTATTCTTTTGAATATTCCAGCCAAATTTTTTTTAGGTTTTCCTGTGCTGAAAGAATGCTCCCTTTCTTCACTCCCCTTCAGACCTTATTAAGAGTATGTTTTCATAGTAGTTCAGTCTTGGGCATAGGCATAAACATGAATATGTGGGTAATATGTTACTACCACACACCTTGAGATATGCAATTCTACATTCTTAAGATTGTGTTAGAAACCACAAAAATCAAATAAGAGTGTAGACTGGCAGCTGCTTGTCAAACAATGCTATTCTGTTAATTTTGCCTGAGATTTTATTCAGATTTTACCTAGATACGTAACTTTTAATTTTTAGGTGGCCACAAGGTGGCAGGCTTGCTGCTTCTACAAGAGTTCAAGCCTATCTAGTAGAGTATTAGTATTTAGTTCCATAATTTCCCCCTGAAAAATCATGCAGTTTACCTTTTAAAATAAATGGATAGATTTGTAAAAGGGAATGAATCTTATTATTTTATTTGCGTATTTCCAAGTTAGGTGTTTGCTACAGAATGAAGGGGAGTTATGCTTGTTGCCTGTGAGGGTATTTGAATAGATATGATCACTGATACATTTATAAGCAACTACATTTCTTTTTGGGGCAGGAAGCAATCTTATTTATCTTCATCCATGAACATGTTGAAGCATGTTTATAGTTGTCTTGTTTTTATGCATAAGGAAGTTAGAGGCTTATCATCTTAAGCTATAGAGTAACAGGAAAATTGGAATCAAAGGGTAATTTGATACAAAATTATTTGTCTTGGATGTTGGGTTAGAAATGAAGAATTTGACCACTGGACTGATGTTGAAGGATTTCACTGATTTTATTGATGGTCAGATTTTGAGACTAAATTGTTTGGAGGCCCTTGAATTGTTTGCCACTCAATTTATCTGGACATTGGTGTAGGCATGTTCCTGAAAATAAGTTTCTAAAAACAGCTTCTGTTCTCCTTCTCAGTCATTCCTGTATTCCATAAACCAGACAATATGCCTACGGTTGGATAGCATTGAGGCAAAGCTGCTGGCACTCGAAGCTACCTGTAAATCATTGGAAGAAAAATTGGACCTCGTCATGAACAAACAGCATAGCCCTATCCAAGTCCCCATGGTGGCAGGTTCTCCTCTTGGCGCTACGCAGACATGCAATAAAGTGCGATGGTAAGAAAAGAACAGACCAGTCATCACTGTAGCAATATACTTTTTGAACACTATCCCAAATCCATCTCCCTGGCACCACCAAACTCTGCAGTTTTATGAATAACTGTCAAGAGCTTGGTATGTTGTTTAGAATGTAAAATGAATTCATCTTGAAGGTAATTGCCAGTTTCACGATGTTACTTCTAGTTAGACTGAGACTAAACACATCACATTGGTTCATGGACAGCTTGCAACTATTTCCGCATTTCAACTTAAACCAGACTGATTCATCCTTCCTTTGGAAAAATTGCATCACGTATTAGATGCGTTGTGTTTCGTCTTTCTACCTTTTTACCTTCATTTTCTTTATCATTTCATTGGTGTTTCTAGCTAATGTGCTTACTGATTGCATCACTTCATACCATTCTAATCGTGTTTAACTTCACTCTTATTTACTAGCGGTTCAATGGAGAGGCTCAGTGACATGCTCCTATTCCCTGTAAACTCTCACTAGAATAATATCTAATGTTTATTTCTGGGGTAGAGTCACAGGGGTTAGAAATGGAAAAGACCTATTAAATCATCTGATCCATTACAATATAAATTCAGACTTGCCCTATAGTACCGTTTACTTCTGCGTAGTTCACCTGTGAATTTAGGTGTCTAAAGCCCTGGTGTGTCCAACACTTCCCCTTGGAGATTATTTCAGTCTAATAGATACATCTGTCAAGGGTTTTTTGTGTGGTAATGAGCATAACCCTCATTCATAGTTTCATTCTGTTTTTCCTAGCTGTGCTTCCCTAAATAATCCCTCTCTGTTCTTGTTTAGATCTGTGTAATATTCTTGGTCTCCTTTCCAATTCCATACACTCTTCAGTTATATATAGCCAAGATATACATACTTAATTATCTCATTATAAAACAATTTCAGTGACATCTGATCCTTGTCATTACTCTTCTCAGGACTCCCTTCATTTTCTAAATATTTTTCTGGTATGTGTTACTCAGAAATAAGCATGATATTGCAGGTGTACCAGAGCCTTAGAGAAAGAAGCTGCTGTTTACTTGCTTCGTGCTGAGGGGCCCATGTCTGTGCAGGTAAAAAAAACAAACCCCCAAAAAGTACATTGGCTTGCTTATGCTCCCATGTTGAACTGCAAATTCTTGTCTCATTTTCCTAGCCATTGTCTATTTTCTATTCAGCATTGGATCGTTATAAGAAATGTGTGTTTCAGATTATATTTTCTCTTATATGTTTGCATTTTTAAAAATGTTTGTCCTGGCTGGTGTTTGCAGCTAGTCTCAGATTAGTATCTCCGTTTCACTGAGGAACTCTTTACCCCTTCTTTCCCTTCATGAGTTAAATTGTTAAACAAAACTAAACCTAACACACATACCTTTAAAAACTCCAGCTCTATGAATTTGTAGTCAGAAGGACTATTATGGTAATGTACTCTTACCTATTGTAGTAACAAACTAGGGTTTGACTCAGTAATTACTGTATTGTGCTCAATAATGTGTAGTGGAAGTAAAGTGACTTTTAGAAGAACATCCAGTCTTATATTTAAAGACTTGAAACAAGGAAGAATCCATCATAACTCTTGACTGAAATGCACCTTTATTTCTAATTTGAATTTGCTTGGCTTCGACTTAAATGTTCTTCTTGCTGTGCTAGGCAGCTAGAGCTGTGGCTATTTTAGCAACAATTGAATATCCAGTACTTTTCAAAGCAGGCCACTCATTTTTTTTAGGGCCTAAATATTGCATTTGGACTTTACCTCTAGGCATTTTTTTTTTTTTTACCATTAACCTGTTATGTTACTGGGGATGGAAGTTAGTCATGGGAATAGGTAATTTTCTGGATTGTCCTTCCTTTGAAATATGTACTGCATCTATATTTTTTCAGGCTCTTGGTACCTTCTTAATTGTCCTTGATGTTGTGAAATAATTGCCAGTGATAACTAATTCCCTTAATAACACATGTTGCATATAATTTAACTGTCTGAGTAAAGTAAAAGATAGAATGTTGTATTATTAAAACATTACAAGTACCTTTATATTTGGTTTTTATTACTTAGCTATTTCAAAAGAGACTTCCTTTGTTACTAATAACTTAAGCTATTATTTTTTTTAATATATGTTTGCTGAGGGCATGAGAGGCAAGAGTTTTTATTGGGCTAACTACATGGTTAGGATAAATGTAGACAAACTTTTGGGTATCATCAAACCCTTTCTTGGGTCTCTGGGAGAGAAGCAGGCAGAACTAAACAGCAGATGGAACAAAGATACAGATTTTTAGAAAGGGATTCAGAGCTTTATATGTAATATAAATTCTTCCCCTTATACTGTGATTTATGCACAAAATATATGTTTGAGGTTTTTTAGAAAGTATATGACATCATTGGGATCCAAGTAATGCGAGTCCAGTGAGTGTTCTCTTTCATCACTGCCTTTTACTAATTATACTGCTTTCATCCTCTGAGACTTGCAGAACTGAGATTGCCTTTTTTCTGTAAGGCCATGGCAAGTCTGCTGTAGGCATTACTAGAGAGCTTGGCACTTAATCTCTTTGGAGTGCAGATTTATGGTAGCTGTTTTTCAGATAGTCTGAACTTATTTTTGATGGAGTACTGTAGGTGATATAAAACCCTTTGTCGCCATATATTTTTCCAGTGTTATTACTGAATATCATTTAATCCACAGTTATCTGTGCATTTATTCTTATGTATGAAATAGATTCCCCATTTAATTTTTAACTGATTTGTTGCCAACTAAAAACTAATAGCTTCTTTCTCATTTTGACAGGCTGTTAGGGGAAAAGAGACCTGTGCTTTAACTGTGTGTGTGTGTGTGTGTGTGTGTGTGTGTGTGTGTGTGTGTGTGTGTGTGTGTTGTTATTCAGGCAGTTAGATGTTTTTTTTCTATTTTACTTTTTGTCCTTTGGTTTTCAATTAGAACAGTTTGCATATTTTGCATCTAAAAATATTTAACTGGATTTCTGACAAACAGATTTCCTTTCATTCATTCTTTTAATGAAATGTGCGTGAAAAGTTCAGAGCATCAACTTAAAAGATTACTGCTTTTAACAGGAAGTAGTAAATTGTTAGAAATATCTTCAACTTTGTCAAGGAAACATAGATTTTCCCTGAAGTTCAATTTATTTTATGGCCCATATGTGACCCCAAAGAAAATGAGTGCACTCTCAAAGGAAACATGTATTTAACTTAAGGATCCTATTTGCCTTAATAAAAGTCCTTGAGAACAGGTGAAAAGTTGTCAGCTAAATACCAAAGACTCTCTCATTTGGAAAGGATTCGCATATGTTGCGGAGCCAGCATGATTTCGTAAGTGGTTGCCTCGGTTTTTCAGCGATAGGATGTATCACAAAATTCCTTATCTCTCAGCTCATAGAAACTCGTTCCACTTGTTGATTATTTCTAATTAAAAACCTGCATTGACTATTCTGTTGTATCAACTCTTTCTTTGTGTTCTCCCCTCCCCCCCCTTAAAACAGATGGCAGTGGAGAACTGCCAACTCCACTTGGTATTTCGGACCCAGATTTTCAGATTCTGCACCTGAATGAGATTCTGCAACCCTCTTCTCGTCGTTCTCCTGCCACTACATTAATACCAGTTTTACCACTTTAACAAAAACATTGTGCACAGTTAGCAAAGGCATGTCAACCAGATGGTGTTACACTCAACAACAGTATCTTGTTTGCCAGCAAAGCAGACTCTTGTTCTTTTTTTCAGAAAATTCTCTAAGGTTGTGTTATTTCCACTCCATACGGCTGTGAATTTTATTTACATATTTTATTTTGTGATTAGCTGCTTGTATTAATGTGATGTAGATTTGTCATAATCAAGACTTATTTGTTACACTATTGTATATAGTAGAGCATATGAACTAAACATTATAAATTTAACCCAAATAAGTTTCGTTGCTCCTGCAGTATTTGTGCCTTTTTTCTTTAAACACTTGTTATATATACATTCCCTGAAGCATTTCAGTTTCCAGTGTCTGTAGGCCATCATGTGATAAGAAGAAGGGAGACTTAGACTAGTGATCTTTTTTTTTTTTTAATCATCTTCTGGAAGAGTCGGACAAGTACAGAGAAGTAGCAAAGTTCATAGCTAAGTATTTAAGTCCTCCTAGTGTATAATGGGGAATGAATGTCATATTATCTTATTCTGCTGCAGAGGCCAGAACAATATTGCACATGGCTTTATTATAAAATAGAATGATGTAGTATAATCTATCCATGTAACTGATGTTTTAATGGAGCCAGTGTCTCACTTTTATAAAAATTGGCAGCTTGGAGCTCAACTTAATATTGTTTTCTCTAGTAAACTTGGTGTTGATTTATTAGGATAACTCATTCTTTTTTTTGTTGCCAACCTGAAGTTTCCAAGTTTTTAAAGTTCTCATTAGGGAAATGAAGCAGAAGTTTCAAGGAGACTTGGAATAAATCAGGAACCTCCCTGTGCTGTTAGCTCCCACAGCAGAAATTTGGTGCATTTCAGAGTCTTATCTGATTTATCTTTATTACCCACATGTGAATTGATGCGTCAGGGTGGAATTGTTCCAACATCTTTTCTTGTTTGTCATTTTTGGGCTTATTTTTTCCTTGAAGATTTGTTGATATCTTTTGGAAAACTACAGAATAGATAATTGAAAAATGATTATACTTTGTGTGCTTATGATATTTTTACTAAATGAATTGTGTGAAAACTTGAGTCTTATTCTTAGAATTCTCTACTCTTCTTAACTCCCACCTGATGTCATGATACTCTGCGCCACGTCCAGGACTGCAGTGGAGATGAAGTTGATGTTGTACTTGAAGTTAAATCTGATTTTGTTAGAAGGGTAGCAAACAAGCTGCAGGAGCCTATGGAATCTCGAGAAACAAAGATAAGTAGTTTTCAGATCTCCTAATGAGGAGGAGCAGATAAGAAGTCACAGAACATTTGACAAATAGGGGTGAATCCTATCTTAACACAATGCTGTAAAGTTTTCTCGA